CGTATTTGTATTTTTATTAATTTGGCTCTTTTAATGAAGCGATGCAGCTGCTAGGGCTAAGGATTGGAGGGTTCATATTCTCAGGAAGTTAAGGATCCAATGTGAAGCCAATTGCTGCTAGGTAAATCATTCTCTGAGTTTAACTTGAGTTGATCTTTACTTGTATAGAATATAGTATTGAAAATTGTATCTACTTGTTGATATAAGTTATGATACTTCCAAATAAAGAGTAATAGACAGGACTGCCGAATATAAAAAAAAAAAATAAGTCATAACTATTATATATAGCAATATAACTAATAAATAAAGCTACTATGTACTTATATATATATATATATACATACTAGCATATAATTAATACGAATTACTATTATAGTTGACCTTCAATAAGTGAATATGCATTATTGAATACAAAAAACTATATTAAACTATCCAAATAATATAACATATGAAGAGAAATGCAATTATTGAGAATGCTTTTACAGAAGATCAACTATATATATAGGAAAATAAGATATCTGATAATATAATATAGTGCAATATAGTAATATAAATTAGATTACAAATTTACAAATCTTAATATAGTTAGTATTTACTCTTTAAAAAGAAAAGTTTGAACTATTATTTGATTAATACATATATATGTAGATTGAATTAGTTGTAAACTAAAATATATAATTTGATTGTTAGATGAGCTAATAAATACTACAAGAAAATCTAATAATATATACTTACTAATACTAATTGTTATTATTACCAATCTAGGTTAATTATTATTATAGACTTTAGTATATTCAATGTTGTTTCTAGCCTTAATATTAGTAGCATTAGTATATATTAATATAAACAATTAAGTATTCAAGTTAAATTTGCTAGCTTAGTGAAAATACAATAAAATATTCAAAAGCAATAATAAAGCAAATTAAAATTTATGATCTAAGCTAAGTACATATAAACCTATCCAAATTATAAACTATGAATTAATTCTAACATGCAAGTTGTAGACTAGTCATCATTAAATTTTAGCTTTACAGATAGCTCGATTATGATTCTTTTCACTACATATTTTATATCGCTTTCTATTATCAGGTTGTTGAATATTGATATCAGTATTAGACAAATAGTGATATTTTTCTGTACTTGATTCTTGAATTTCAATACTGCTTTTTACTCTACCAGAAGGCTTTCTTCTTCTTACAGAAACAATAGGATTGGTGATTAGAATATTCTCAGATTGATTATCTTCATTTAACACTAATT